CATAGTGCGAGTATGCAAGGCGAGACCGGTTCAACGGTGCGAGCGGTTAAGCGGGAAAATTTGAAATTTTCAAATTTCCCGCCAAAACTTTAAAGGCCCCTACAGGATGCAATTTTGTCAGGAGCCCACCGGAGGGTACTGATTCTCCCCGATTTTACACAGGAGCCCACCTGTGCCAAATTTCAGGTCGATCGGACAAAAACTGATAAGAATAGGTTTTTTAATATTTTCCAACTTTTTCGGCGGGAAATTCAAATTTCCGAACTTTGAAGATAAAAGTGGACTAACTGGAAATCCAAGCTAAGGAACATGGCAAATACCTCGGTGTATGGCTGTCGGCGGGCTTGTATTTCAGAGAACATCTGAAAAGAACATGCGAAAAAGTGAAAAGAAGAAAAAGTGAAGAGAAAAATTTAAAGACAATCCCGAAATTCAAATTTTTTTTAAATTACAAGACTCGCTAAGCCTAGCCCAAAACTGTCTAGTATTTCAAAGCCGAGTAGTCATTCCAGCGACATTACAAAATAAGGTACTTAAATTACTTCATGACGGTCACCCAGGAATAGTCAAATCTAAATTGCTAGCAAGGTCATCAGTATGGTGGCATTCTCTTAATACAGACATTAAAAACTTGTGCTCGGCGTGCCCCAACTGTTCAACTGTCAATTTTAAACCCAAAAAAACCTATGTACCGTGGCCTGAAGCCACTTTTCCATTAGAACGGTCCCAAATTTATTTATTTGTATTCAAAAGTGTTAAATTTTTCATTTTCTGTGACGCCCTCTCTAAATGGTTACACATAGCATTGACTCCTACCAGCACATTCTCAGATATCGAAAGAGAACTACTTAGTATTTTTGCAATGCTGGGCCTACCCAAAATTTTGGTGAGCGACAATGGTCCACCTTTTGACTCCGCACCGACTGTGAAATTTTCTGGACTAAATTCAACATTCAGAAATTACATTCACCGGCCTACAGCCCAGAATCCAATGGTTTAGCGGAAAGGGGGGGTCCAAATTGCTAAAAGAGGGCTTGAAAAAATTTTATTATCCAACGAAAACTCCTCATCCTCACCCAATTCACCGGTCAACTTATTACTCACAGTTAGCAAATTTTTATTCAATTATCGTAACACGCCATCTACAGTCACCCTTAAGGCTCCAAACGAGATGCTTCTAAACTTCCGACCCAGAACCCTTCTCTCCCAACTAATCCCAAGCCCTGCAAAAGTTGTCAGCACGCATAAGTTCTTGGATGGCGAGGAAATCTATGTACGCCTCACCAAGAAAATGCCAATGGTCAAAGCCACAGTTGCTAAAATGTTAGGACCGACAAGATATCTAGTTTCCGTGAAAGGAGTATTAAAGCAGGTAACAACAGTTACAGGTAACAACAGTTGTCGCACAAAAACCTAATGAACTTCTGGGGCACGTAATACAAAATGAATGGTATGTGAAAGGAATGACATACAAGGAGTTTCTGGAGTTACACACCGGAGCTCAATTCGACTTTGGGGAACTTGAGAAGAAATTTGGCAAGATATGTGAGGATTACACTGATGGCATTGCTAGTGATAAACCTATGCTTTCTATCTTCTTTTGTGGGAAAGTGCTTTATGAGATTGGTCCTGAAAGCCGAAAGGTGAAGACCAATATGTCGGATAAGACTTGGGTTATGCACTTTCCATACAATAAGGACGGCAAGTTAGTGATAAGGACAGCATACATAAGCACGTTCAAAAATGCTGCAAGTTCATATAAGGGTGAGGACCTTGACACAAAGATAGTTTTAACTATCAAACAGGCTAGTCTTTTGGCTGTACAAGTCTTGGGTAAGATAAGTACAAAAGCTGTAAAAGAGATAGAGCCTAAGATCCTCCTCACTCCTCTAGCTGGTGCAGTTTTCTCAAAGGATGACATTGACAAGCTTTCAAAGGATTTGAAAGTAGATCTTCACACAGTGGTTAGAGTGGTAAACAAAAGTTGCCAATCGGGGGCTCATTACTTGGATGAGTCAGATATACATGTGGCTTGTGTAGCAGCAATAACTGCCACAAAGGCCATGACTAACAAACAACTGAGGTTCTATATAATAAAAAAAACCATGAAGCAGTTTACCACAGCTGGGAAGCACTTTAACCCAGACACCTTTAAGATATATGCTCAAAGAAGCAGTGGTGGCCTTCCTGAGGAATTGATGCCTGAGAAGCTCATTGAGGACTTCGATGCATATAGAGAGCTTGCTGCCAAGGAAGCAGGAGCATTTAGGGAGAATGCTAAAAAACTGCAGGAAGAAGAAGAAGCTAAAATAGCTGCTGCTGAGAAGGAGAAGGAAGAAGCAGAAAGGGCTAAACTTCTTGCTAGGCCTGTGACTTCTTCTAGTAGCACTAGTGTGCTACCAGCTAGTGGTAAGACTGACAAGAACAAGTAGACTCCACAATTAGGTCGTTGTGGTAGTACTTCCATGCGTATACAGCACATGCCAACCAAATGAGCCGCGCCTATAATTACGGCCCACTTCGTCAATTCAAATAATTTTCTGTCAATGCTGAACCATGCTTGTATTGTAAAACCCAATTTCAATCATATCACTTCTCTTCTATTTCAACCCTTAGCTCATGTCTTAGTGCGTACCTATTACAAGATGGACAATGAGATGGATAATGGATAACGGATGCCTCTAGTGGGTCAGAAACCCTCGGGTCTCTGGCCCTGTTTACCGCAAGCTACTTAATTGGGGATATCGGGCTCGACGCACCCGCGGAGCTGAGTCATGTGTAGGCTGCCCCCTTCTGGGGCCGCATAAGATCGGGTGCCTCAAGGGCTGAGCGAGACGTAGCTGGTCTGCCCTCCCTGCCCTCCAGTCCTCGGCCTTAGAGCCCTGCCGTGGGGTTGTCGCAGGGTTTAGCGCAAGCTGGGCTTAGGCTCTCCTCCTACGCCCTTGACTCCGGGTACAATGATGGCTTCGGCAGATCGGTTCCGGGGGATGGGGGGACCCTCCCTTTAAGTGGGGGGCCTAAGGGGCGCCGGCTGCACCGGGGCCGGGGTCGGGGACTGCCGTTCGAAGAGTGCCTCAGGGACGTCCGACGGGAGGATAGAGCGTCCGATGGGCCACACTTGCACGGGGTGTGGCCTGGAGGGGTCGTTTAGTGTGTAAGGAACACAGCGGCGGCGTGCTCTACCCCCACATAACCGGGTTTTCCCATCTCACAGCGGTCGGGTCGGTTAGGGGTCGCTTCGGCGGCTCTTCACCAGCTGATGGCCGTCCCGGTATTCGGTGGGCCCCTTTCATGAGGGGCGTCTTGGCGACCCTCATGATGGGGGCACTGTAGCGAATTTTTCCCCTCATAACAACAAAAAAAAAAAAAAAAAAAAAAAAAAAAAAAAAAAAAAAAAAAAATTGTAATAGAATGGGGCCATATCACTTACGTTTCTAGGGCCACATTCCATTATGCTTTCTAGCTCATTCGGTCCGAAAGCCATCACTTTCGCAAGTACAAGCTCAGGTGAGCATGTTGATGTTTAGAGCATCTATCTTGTAGCGCCGATTACCTCGCAATCACGCCTCCGACGTCATAGCTCGGTCGGACGTTACAAGATATATTTACTCTCGAATCTCGATATTCGCGGCGCGACGTCGTATCTTCGAGGCAGCGAGTATAGGTAGCATCTAGCCAGTGCATCTAGTGTATACCGTTGTATTTTGTATCGAGATATAGATCAGCTCTACCGTTTGACTACGATCGTTGGATTATTTCATCCCCCCCATTACAATAATTTATGGAGTTCTACCACATAGTGGAGACGCCGGGTCAGGAGCATTGTCATCCGAAAATCCCAGGGAAAAATTAGCCGAAAGTCTGGATCATTTCATCCCCCTTCCCATTACATAGTGGAGACGTCGGGTCAGGAGCATTGTCATCCGAAAATCCCAGGTTAGTAGGATAAACTTGAGTTTAAATTAGATAATTTACAGAGTTAGTAGTAATTTTTTGAGCTTCACCAAGTCAAATTAACGAAAACTTTTAGTAATTTTCATTTCATTGATAGTACGAAAACAGTTAGTAAGTTTCAAGCTTCACAAAGTTGAAAACAGAAAGCGTTACGTAATTTTTAAGATTTTTTTTCTTATTATATTCTCCAATTCAAGCTTCACAAAGTTGAAAATAGAAAGCGTTACGTAATTTTCAAGATTTTTTTTCTTATTATATTCTCCAATTAAGAACTACTTGCAAAACTCTAGGTTATTTTCCTTGCAATCATTCAATCCTAATCTAAAATTTTCATTTGCCTTAAAGTGAAAATTAGCCAAAAGTCGTAAGTTCGTTTATTGGAATCATTAAATATTCAGTGAAATTATATTCACCGATTTTCCATTGAATTTTCTGGGGCAGCAGAAAATTATTTCAAAAATTTAGACATAAAGTCGAAATTTGAAATTTGTTTTCAGTGAAATTTTGTTTGCAGATTTTACTGCAGATCCTTTCTGGGGCAGCAGAAAAGAATTTAATTTTTTTTAGACGAAAGTCTTGAATAAAGTTCGTTTATTTTATTCGTTTATGCTAAAATTTCTGGGGCAGCAGAAGAGTAATTCAAGAAATTTAGACGAAAGTCTTGAGTAAATTTCATTGAAGTTTTGAATTATCAGTCGAATTTAGTTCGCAGATCTCACTTTAAGTAGTAAATTTACAGAACTACAGATACCTTCAAATAATTCAGTTCTGCTTCGCGCGCCGTCGGGGAAGGTACCTACACGCGTATCTCGTGATTACGTGATTACGTGATTCGGCTTTACGGCCTTTTTTTTCGCGTGATTCGTTTTTACGATTTTTGTCTTGCGATTATTGTTGGTTGATTCTTGTTCTAGTTTCTAGTGATATTGTAGTGTAATTGATCTTGGATTGTGGAAATTGGTTTTAAGGAAATTGGATTACGTGATTCTGCTTTGCGGTCTTTTTTTCGCGTGATTCGTTTTTGCTTTGCGATTTTTGTTGGTTGATTCTTGTTTTTTGTTTCGGTTTTTTGTGATGGTTGTCTAGTGATCTTGTAGGGTAAGTGATCTTAGAGTGTAACTAGTGAGTGTTGTGTGTGTGAAGCGTGTGGCTGGACAAACGAACGATAGTGTGGTAGAGGTTAGAGTGAATCAATTTAGTATGGCGAGTGCTATCAGGAAAAAGATAGGGGATCTAGGGAAGAGTAAGGTGGATAGCCCAGCGGGGGATGGGGGAAAGAAAAAAATGGGGGATAGTCCGGCGATTGTAAGTGAGGGAAAAAAACTGAGGTCTGGTAGTGTGAGAAGCGAGGTGGGAGTAGGCTCGGGGACACCTAAGGTAAGGTTGCCACCAAGGAGTAGAAGTGAGGAGAGGTTGATTGGGGATAAAAGAAAGGGAGTGACAAAAGTAAAAAAATCGTCTCTCTATTTAATTAACTTCATTCGCGTTTCTCGTGACCGGTCACGACTGCCTGCGGTCCGAGTGCCGTGGATGACTGTTTCGGTTAATCTTCTTAGAAGACGTAAGCATTAAACTTTCAATTGAGGTAACAAAACTATTTTTATTATATTAACCGAATAAAATTCTGACCTATCATTCAAGTTCTTTTATGCAGAAATAACTTGTGAAATGAAGATGTAGAGCTGTATGAAACTCATAAAAAAATATCCAAGTAGACGAACAGTAATTTTGCTTACAGCTAGCTGTATGATTCCTCATAGCTGGCTATGAGAATCCCTGCAGGCAACACCTACAGTCTTATAAGCAGTTAACATCTATATTGACGAATATTCAGGTGAACGGTAAAGGGCCATGTAAAAAACAAACAAATTGCACATAGGCCTGATTGGCGAAAGAGAGGAGTCAAGCTTTCGAATCAATTGAAGTAGATAAATCAAAACTTTATTTATTCAAGTTGCCTGAATTCAATGGGAACTCTAGTCGTATTTTATTGAAAAAGGTAGATTTATTAAGGCAAGACTTGCTTGCATGCTTACCATTTGTAGAGGTTCTCCAAAACTTTAAGCTTGTGGTGGATGCCTGTTTCTCAACCACTTTGCATGCAAATTACTCTTTACAGCGTGTCAAGATCGACGTTATTGCTATCGAGAAGTCAGCTATCACAGAAGTCGATAAAATTCTCTTAGACCAAAATTTAAAACCTATTCCCGGTATGATGTATTTACACCAAATCGTTTTAAATTCGCTCAATTGGAATGGTTTAGCAATAAGGCATCTATCCTGTAATGAATGCCTGGGTCAACTCGAGTGTAATCACAACCAAGAGAAACGTGTCACATTCAACTTTAATTCAAGCAACAGAATTATACTTGTCGCAAAAGAGAATTATCAAGAGCAGATGCAATCAAAACGACTAAGGCAACTTCAACACAGATGCAAGTTGTTGAAAGCTCTAAAAAGATTTGACTGAACAGTCAGCAGAAATATCATTCATGTCTCCCTCACGTCAATTTTTTCTTTGGCCATCAGTGGAAGATTTACAGAAAATTAAATTTAATGGTATTTTAAGTATTTTAAGCCCTCCAAAAAAATGTTCTTTGCGGCTGTTTTCTTTTGAAAATGTGAGTTACCTTACATATCATCCTGTTTTTGTTAAAATACTGATGTTCTGATTGGTAATTTGAAACTTGCCTAACGTGCTCAGTAGACTGAAAGCTGTTGCCAAAGTTTGAACGTCAAAACTGTTAGTCCTGTTAAGTTTGGGTTCTTTCTTGAATTTTCTATAAATTTAAATTTTTTAGTTTCGTCAAAAGTTTCTATTTTTTTGCAGTTTTTGACGAATAGTATCCTAATATTCTCCACTTTAAGTTCCTCTACCTCAAAATATTAATATTCGTAAACCGTTAGTTTCTCATTATTACTCTTAATATTGTTACGAAAAAGGCGCATAACTTAAGTATTTATTGTAGTATTTGATGGGCTGTAAATGCTTTGCTCCTCTTTTTCCTATTTTTACTTTCTCATTCCTAGGTATAAAGTACCTCACCGAGCCTAGTAAGTAGGTATAGGTAGTGCTTACATTTCTCCACGTTCGTTATTTTTTTTATTTGAAATACTTGCTGGAGTATTATAAAATTTGAAAAAAATGAAGATGCAAGTTGCAGTTTTTTGGTAAATTTGGCAACATAGCATAGTTTTATGGTAATTGGTTGGTACTGCACATGTTATTTTGGTTTTTTTTTTGTTAGTTGAGATCTTGAGCCGAAAAAATATGTGCATACAGTGCCCCTAATCATGAGTATTTGAAAACAGAATCAGTTGGAAGAGCTTGCGACAGTCTTGAGCTTTTTTAAATCTTATCACATGAATTTTACAGAATTCAAGTCTAAGGTGTAAAAAAGTTTGGGACCGTTATGCTATTTTGAAAATACACAGTATGAAGTAACAAAAAAAACAAAACTTGGGCCACTTTGTTCAACTTTTAATTTTCAAGTTTTCTGAAATGAAATCACACCTTTTTTGCGGTAATGCCCATAAAAAAATTATAGTTGCCTCATACTTTTTTCTTGCCGTTTGTGAGTAACATTTTGAAATACATTTAAGGTGACTCAGGCAGGTTGTTACTTGTAAAAATGTGAGACAGAAAACTGGAGTTTACATTAGGAAAGAGGAGGGCTCCATTTAAAAGTGTATTGGAACCTTAAATGCATTCACAATTGAAACCGTGAGAATGAAAACACACCAACTCTGATACATGAAAATGTTCAAGAGACAAAAAGAGGTGCGCAGTAGGTGAGGAAGTTGAATTAAGGAAAAGCTTTTTGGCGCTGAGGGACAATTACTTTAGGCCAAATTAAAGACCTAAGTTGACATGGCTGTGCCATCATCGATGACATTCATGAAAATTGGTTATTTTTAAGTTTAGAAAAGTTTCTAAATAATCACAAGGCTTACAGTGAGGAAGTGATGAGTTCACAGCAGTTAAATACTATGCACTTTCTAAAGGAGGCCTCGTGTTTTCTGCGGTTATCGTTGCAAACCTTTTTAATCCAGCTACAGTTCATCTTTGATTGTCATTTCGTTGTTTTTCTAAAACTGAAATAAGCAAAACAAATTTCATTGTTAGGCAAAATAATCAGGAACAATATTAAACATGTTCTATTCTCTTTTGCAGTCTCATGTGCAATGATTTTAGGAACTTCCTTTACAGAGCCCAACCAAAGACATTACAGTTTTTAAAAAATAATTCTAAAAAAAAAAGTGTATTTGTCATTAGAACACTTATTTTTATTAGCTGCTAGGTACAAAAATTTGCTCTCTCATCATTTAAAACTTGCAAGAACTTTCATGATAGACTCATCTTTTTAACTTCTAACTTCTTTAAAAACTTTTAGCTTGTGACTTTTATCTTTTCAACTTGAGACTTCTTAACTATTAATAATGAGATCTCAAAAAAAGAGGGGTTTTTACCCTTGCTATTGCTATGATAAGTTAATTAAATTATACATATAAGATAAGATGGGCTCAAATCTGTAGACTTAGTCCTTCATGAACCTGCAAGAGAAAAATAAAATTTGCTTCCTATATTTTTTTTTCTTGTTAGGCATGTTTCGTACGAAATGTGAAATTTCGTCACTTCCTTCCAATCTTGATTCTACATTAAGGATAAAGTGAAACCTGCATTAGTTGAAATATAACTTCTGAGGTATGTACCTAAGTTGGAGATTTACTGACACTTTAGAAAGAAATCCTTAAAAATGTGGACTTGTAGTAAACCAAAAACAATGAGTATTTTTTCTTTCTTTCTTTTTTTTCATAACACTGTTTCCTGTTATGATCTCTATTTCCAGCTAATGCCGGCAGCTCACATCAAAGACTACACATTCAAGTGGCCAACGGGACCTCTCCTCCCTTTTTTAATTGTTTTCCCTATGACAAGTGGCTTGAGCTGCTTGAAGTAATTGTTGAAACTATTCATTTTTGTGAAATTTAGCAAGAAACATCTTACTATATAGTTTATAGTGACAGATATCAAGGTAAGGGTAGTAAGAACTAGAAAAATAAAGATTTCCACCTGTGCACTGACTACCATCCAAAGAAAAACCGCTGAGAGACCGTTCCTGACTTATCATCCCCCCCCCCCCCCCCCCCCCNNAAATTACCAAATCCTACTAATAAATTCATAATCCAATTAAAAAAACTCTGCATTGTTGAAGCCTTTTATAATTTAGGTGAACTTTTAAACGCCCCCTGTTGAAAACTTGACTGATCCACGGTATGTTTTGTAAATCTATGTACAGTTAGTTGCTAATGAAAGTAATCTGCTTTCCTTTCTGTTTTGATTCATTCATGGCCTGTGGCCCAACCAATCAGTTCTCATGTGCAAATTGTGTAAGATGAAATAAAATATCTTTATGTTGTTATAGGTAAGCTGAAAAAATTGGTAGAATATTTATTTACAGCAGTTCGTTGGACTTTGATTGTCTGAGAAATTAATTTGGTGTGACATACCAAGCCAATAGATTGCTGTAGCTCATGTCTGCATGCTGAATCCTTAAGTGTTCCTGTAGCGCATCACTATCAGCAAGTTTGCTGTCGACTGCATTCTGACAGGATACTTTTCCAATTGGTCAATAAGGTTGCAAGTGGATTTGAGGGATCTGATGTTCAAAGATCCTTGATCTTCTCATTCTTCGGAGATGTGAAAGGTAAGAAGAAAGTCACGGTGATAACCTCAGGAGATAGAACACTTTTATACATCCAGAGAGATGGAGTGGACCTGTTTAGTTCATTGATGCTGGACTCGGATGCAACAGATCACATGGTGAGCAACAAATGGTACAACCTTTGAACATGGCTTTCTCCCTGCAGATGAATCAAGTTCCAGGATATCTGAGGAAAAAAATACATCTTAAGTAAAATCAGGATATTCTGATAAAAAACCAGTGAATAATCGATACCTTCTACAGCGTTACACACCTTTTCAACATGAAAATCCTTTGCCAAATTGAATACTTAAGTAATGACAATTTCAGCTGAAACTAGTCAAAAACTTTCCAAGCCAATAGGTGCTAAAGCTGGGAACTACAACTTCCTTCAACCCTTCTTATAAGTGCCAGTAAGTTCGATCCAACCCCTCCTACCTCGTTCAACCCTTTCTGTAAGTACCAGTAAGATCCAATTTCTTCAAATTGGCTGTGTATTTTTACCTTGATATTTTTTCTCTTCCTTTTAAAACATGATTTAGCCGCTTAAATTCTGCTCATTACATCTATCTTGCTTAAAAGTTTACTTCTAAATAGCATCTCTCCTAAAAATTTACTTTCATAAGGAGAAAAAGTCCTTTAAAAGTTATCCAAACACAATCTGCTGTCCTCCCGTAAACTTTCAACACAATTACCTACACCAAAAACCAGGTAACCAAAAACAAGGTGACTATACCGGGGCCAGGTAATTATGTATAGAGTCCCTTTATACCCAGAGTTACGACAACTCACTTTTGGTTGGGCCAGGACTGGGCTGAAAGTGGCCTAAAAAAAAATCCAATTCTGATTGGTTCTCGCTCATGGAGGCCGAAACTAGTGCACCAAGATGGCGGTACCTCGAATGTGAACAAGAATAATGAAAATATTACCTAATTGTGGTTTATCAAGAGTAAATTGTTATTTCCATCGGTCTAAAATGAAAATAGATTAAGAAATTATTCACAAACCAATCTAATTTTCGTTTTAATTGATCAATTTGTTGATGTTGTTGTTTTTGTGTGACAGACATCGCAGGATTCCTGATCCTTATCCCTCAATATCGTTCGTTTGAGTGCACTAGTTTCGGCCTCCATGGCCAGCCAAGGTCGGCTGCCAGTCAGCTGATAATCGAGTTGTCGTTACTCTGGGTATAAAGGGACTCTAATTATGTAAAGGATTGAATTGAGATAACTCATAAAGTATTTGGTGTTTTACGAGTAGCAAAGAGAAGTATGAATGTTCATGGCTCTACAAGTGTACCTACGTACAAGGGCAAAATGAATGAATAAATTCTTAGGACAGAGATTGCATTCAAGAAGCAGCGCAACAGAGATCAGCTTACAAGCTGAGATCATCTCTGATACTTGTTGCATAATCAATGGTGGCTGTCTTAGTCAATAGTCAAATAGCACATTTACTTCTGGGGCAAAAGACCCCACACAATCGCACATGGACTTTTTTATGTTCTACCTGGTTGGAACTCGCACATCGTTTGTTGAGACAAACGTCAATCTCCAATTAGCCCTGAATTAGCACATGCAGTCAGATGGCACCACCGATGAGTAATGACGTACACAATACTTTGACATATGTCTTAACGATGTGCAGGTTCTATTTCAAAACAGGAACTTACTTATTCAAACTTGTCATTTTCAGAGGCGTGAATACAAGCTATCTTTGTTTGTCTGGAGTATATTCAATCAGTTTTTGTTCTTTCCCTACAAAGCTTCTCTTGAAGTATGTAAGAAGAAAGGAATGATGCTGTTTCTACTTGAGTGGGGTCAACGATTTACTTAGGGGCAAGACCAATCCACACAGGTCAGTCATTCCCGTGGACGAGTTTTGGTACTCTACTGCGCAGTGACGTAGTATTGAGTGCTAGCAATGTATTTCTTATGGGAGCACCCATTGTGACGTAGTATTGAGTGCAGCCGAGTTAGGGCCGGGCGGGGAAGTGGCTCTCAAAAAGATGCGCAATGACTGACCTGTGTGGATTGGTCTTGCTTAGGGGACACCATCATCAAAATTGGAAGGTGACCTCGGAAGTGAGACACCCTACTGTTGAGGAATAGAGGGCAATAAATTTAGACTCAGCCAAGTGGGTATTTACAACCCGAAATATCTTGATTCTTTTGCACGAACGATATCACGAGTGCTACTTACATGTATGATAGATTTAAGTTCCCTTTGCCGACGTGGTAAAGTACATTTGAAATGAGCAGGCAACAGGAAGTGCCATGTGCCGTAAAATATGGATATCGTGGTCCGGAAAAAATCTTGACTTCCCGCGACATATTAGGGGCTTAAAATCGTGAAGGAAACAATCGCACAGTCAGCAAAACCAAGAATTTCGTTCGATATCACAAGAAGAAAAGAAGAAAACATGACAAATCTAACCTAAAAACTGATAAGGAAAATAGAGTCGAGTGTTCAGCAGAGATTCACTCCTGAATTCCGAAGGCAGGACCATAGAGTACAATAGAGTCGCAAAGTACTGGATCGCCGTTGAAGTCACTTTTCGAGGCTGTTTTGTCCAGTTCTCCGGAGACTAGTGTGCGGCGACTAGCGACGACGCATACGCAGAGACTCGCGCTCAGCGCTCCCCACTCCCGACTCGGCTCCGTTCGTCGGCTAGGTCCACACACATTGAATCAGCTAAGTAGGCCGGTAATAAGTCTGAAATTGACAAGGCGGATAAAGAATGGTGGTCGCATCTCGTACCCTCTTGACGTCACGATTGTAAACAAACCCAACTGCGGAGGGTTTGAGGTTTACAAGGTAAGTGAAACGAAGGTATGCTCTTCCCCTATTCAACCATCCAAAACCGATGAAACGCTCGGTTTTGTTCGCGCTATTTCGGTCTTGGCGCGAAAATTTGAAAAATGCCGATTTTCGATTCTCCCATAAGAACCAATGTAATCTGGGGGAAAACAAACTCAGGCTCAAAATAGGATAGGCCTTCTAAGTTCTAAAGCGTGATTGCGTGACTTTCATCAAGTGTTGATAAGCGAAAATGATCCAACTGAATGTTTTGAATTAATTTGAATAAGTTTTTAAAATTTAATTTTGTTTTAAATATCTTTCTGGTTTTAATAATGTCTTTAGTATTTCAGTTTTAATTATGTAAGTGAGCTGTGCTTTTTTATTTGTTTGATTGTTGTGCGGCGTGCGCATCATCTGATTTTCCTCAAAGGTAAGAATCTTCGTTTGATCATTTTTCTCTAGTTTTAGTGAAACCCTCAACGTGGTGAAGATTGTATTTTTTCTGAAAAAACATTATGGAGTTAACAAGTCAGTATGATGAATCAGTTCATCATTCCTAATCATTGAATCAGTGTTAAGACTTGAGCCGACAGATGGATTTGAGATTGACGATTGACACCTCTGTTGATGACTCACAGAGTAGAACTATCGTCTGTTGAGAGAAAAGCTAAATCTTGTCAACATGAACAGTCATGAAAAGTTCTGCAAGGTGCATTTATTCACCTGATGACCGGTGTTAATTCAGAACTAATCCAAGTTAGACATTTCTGTTAGCATACGATGAGTCTGCTCAAACATGAATACTAATGGCAGAATTAGGTGCATTGTCAAACAAAATCGTTTGTGGCTGTATAGAAAAAAAGTAACCAATGCTGAACAGACTGCGATGTTCACTTCCATCCGAATTTGCTGATGAGTTGCATATTTCCATGGCAGGAGTAAATTGTTTGACTGAACACTCAATGTTCACCAAAGGACAATAAGACTGCTTGGTTGCATTTAGTAGGTAACCACAAGCACCAAATGTATATGGGTAGTTATTAAGGTTCATTTTTATCAAGATGACTTGATTCATCAGACTTACGCAGTATCCTTCCTGAATAAGTTGGCTGTAGATGAAGCGATGCGCATTTCGGAGATGAATCAATCTTCAGGCTTCGCACTCCCTCATGTTAACTTGCACGTCATTAGCCAAAACTTACGCAAGTGTTGGTTCATGACATGCATGTCAATGCGAGAAAGTACGAAGCCTGAAAATGAATTAATCTCCAAATGTGCATTGCATAATTTACAGCTAATGTAGTGAGGAAAGAATACGTAAGTGTACTGTATTTGGGTAGGTTTACTTTAGCCTTGTAGCTATCGGAGGATTCTTTTTATTTTGAATCTGTCTATTGGCAGATCAATCATGGATTATAAAGAATCATGGTATTTTTTACTAAACTTTGAATGGATATACCATGGATGCATTTTCGGAAAAAATTGCCAGAATGATGGCTCTAAAAAATCAAAGTTATGTGAATAATTATTCAGTAGTCATTCAGATTACAAATTCATTAAGCCTTATAGCAATGAAATTGCTTACTGAACCAATTGTTAACCAATCTGATGGCCAATTTTACCGTCCCCTTTTTTTTAAAAGCTGTCGATTAAGGTATTAAACTTGATTAAATCTATTGGAAGTGTGCTAAGTAACAGAATACTAAGTACCAACGTTTCAGTATGAGCCCTATAAATGTTTTTTCTTCAATGTTTAAAGGCTCATGCCAAATTGTAAATATTTTTCCTGTGTTTGGAACTGTTTATTGACGTTGCAATTTCAAAAATGCGTTTTCACTAGGGTATTTGTACATTACGACCGTATCCTCTGCTCTCTCCCAGCAAAATTAAACAAATGCACCTGAAATTCTCAAATATTTACTTATCGTTTGTAGAATGTATCATCATAAACTGAAGAACTCTAAGCACAATTTTTAGACCTTTTCTTCAATTAAATGACCTTGCCTCAGATATCAGAGAATTCTTATAAAACATTCTTATTTTGTTTGACAGATGCCTAAGCAGTGCAGTTTTAAGAACTGCAAAAACGTTCAAATTTCCGGCTGTGAAAAATCGTTTTTTCGATTTCCCAAGGATCCTGCCATACAGAAAATTTGGCTCAGCCAGTGCAACGTAACCGCCTGTCGAGACAACGGAAGGATCTGCAGTGATCATTTTTCGACTGATGACTTCGAAGAGCCTGTAATCTTCAAGACAAGCAGAGGTCGGCGCTTAAAGATTAATGGTAACATATTTTTTCTTCTTTACTGATCCATTATTTTAAATGTCTAAGCAGACATCCATGTTCAAATAACGACATGATAGCCTCATCTAAAGGGACTTTCATTACTGACTGCTGTCAGATTATGCGTTCTTTGCCAAAACTCCTCATGATGTCATTTAAAGATGTTACAAAAAACTTCAATTCTCACTTAATACTTTTTTTTATCTGAATTTTTTGGCTATCGTCTACGAGAGATTCTAGAAGAAAATTAGAGTCGCCTACTTTCTGTTTGTTACTGCTTCCTTGGCGACAATTGCCCTTTCAAAAGCATCAGACCATCTTGTGGCAAAAATACTGACTGGAATTAACTTATTGGTTGAAATTTTGCCCTTATGCGAAGAGATTAATTCTCAAGGAAAAAGTGTATTGTAGGACCAGGACAAAAGCAGACAGCAAGTTGAATTCAATACTATAATGTCCCTCTCTGTAGGATCTGCGTTTGTATCAATCTGTGCAGCTGATAACAGACAAGGGCAAAGATGCTTGTTAGCGCAGAAGGTGTGAACAAATCGACTGAGCAGACTGGTCTGCAATGAAATAATGCTCTGACTGCCCTGCCCTCATGCTTCCAAGTCCTCATGAAAAGCTTCATCAGCATTCCACTTGATATGATCAGTAGATCTGGGCTCATCACTTTCTTCATTTATAATTTTGTGTTTTTATTCCTGCTTTGAAAGTTATACTAAATTCACTAATTATTTTTTGGGTTTTTTTTTGCAGCTATTCCCAACCTACTTTTAACTGCATCTGTTGACATTCCTGAATCCCACAAAAGTACCAAGGTAATTTCTTATTACTGAATTAGCCTTGCATTCACTCATTGAATCTCCACTTTACTGAATCAAAATAATTCCAGCTTTCTCTGACCAAAAAGCAGGTTTCTTCAGAATATCAGTAAATTTATCTCTCCTATCTCTGAATAAATCTGATATCAAACAAAAAAGAAAAGAAAATAAAATAAAAATTGAAAAAAAAAAAGCATAGAGGAAACAGCGGAAAGAAATTAGTAGGCTAAAAAACTTAATGCAATATAAAGCATGTAATGAAAAAAGAAAAGTTTAGGACAGGAAGTATAATTAGGGACAAAGATATGAAATATTTCATGCTGAAGAATACTGAACTGACGACATTTTATTCTCCTGATTGGTATAAAGTGAAGTCCTTTTTTAAGATTTCAAGTGCCATTCTAGATTTTTGTGAAGAGTACCCACAAAAATCCAATCGTGATCAAGCCTCGGTTAAGTGAAATTGTTGATCATTTAAAGCCAAATTGGAGGCTCCTGTCTCTCTGACACACCATTATGAACAACACTAAAGCTTTGCTCATTGCATGGCTTGTGGACTTATTGAATGCATGTGTTCAATGGTCTATTTTGTGCACTACATTTCTGATGGTAACATTGATCTGATAATACGTTTGTATGTGTTGCCGCTTTTAAGTTCTCCAAAATTTTTCTCAAGTTTCAGAGACTTAGCACTAACTCATAATTTCTGCCTCCCTATAGTGTTTAATAAAAAAAACCGCAAAAATTCAAAATTACCTCATTGCAGCAACATTTTATCAAGAAGGGCACACCTAATGAACTGAAATTTGAGGCAAGTGCTACAGCAATGTAGAACCTATCAAAATAGATGGATCAATTTTCAGTCCAGCGAAGTGGCTATTTAAAACAAATTATCCAGGTATTCCTAAATAATAATTTGGCAATTGACTGAGGGCATTTTAGCAACAGTGGGGATAGTTTAAGATAGGAAATATCAGAATAGAGCTTATGACAAATTAGTCAAATGACTTTTGAAATCCAACCAAAGAAATGCTAGCTTCATTTTCTCATTAAAGGTAAATGCAAGTTGAATCAAGATGGCTATTAGTCTGTGGGATTTTAAAAGTCAGCTGACTAATTTGGAGTGAGCTCCATTCAAATTTTCTCTTGCAACTTGAAAAGGGTATTAAGCTTCACGATAAAACATCTGTCAAAGCGACGAGAGGATTTAAGCAGTAGCCTCTTCCTGAACTGAATTATTCTGCTTTTTCCAAGGGGAAGTCAGCTTACCCAGGTGAGATTCTATTTTTGAATTGATGTGAATGGCAGTAATTAATTATCTGTTATCATTTTTCAGAAATGCATTGAGTTATGCGCTGTAAATGGGTGCCGACAAAGCAAGCTTACTACAGAACAATGCCAGCTCCTTTTCTTCCATTTTCCAAAAGAGAAAAATTTGAAAAGAACATGGATTCAATTTTGCAACCGGCCCTCTAAATTTAATGCGGACAGATCAAAGATCTGTCAAAACCACTTCAGTTCAAAGCAATTTAGAAGCAATGCTAGATTAAAGAAAGATGGTAAATATTAATGCATGTTTTACATTTAATGTATCCTCTCGAATATGAATGAAAATCCTCCTTCTTAAATTTTCATTTATGGAAACAATTGTCTGTCCTAAACCTCAGAAGTCTTTTATTCAGTGCGCCAATTATTTTGTAATTTCCATCGTTCAAGAGGCTGCCAAGAAAAGAGACTCTAAAATTTTTATCCCTAATATTTGCCTAATATTAGGTAGTAATCTTGTTGTCCAAAATTTGACGAAATGTTTTGCACAATCTCACTTTAGTGATCTCAAATTTGTATTTTTGTGCAATGGACAATTAGATAGGGTCTAAATGGGTCTGTTATACATGTCAGATAAAGCCAGATGAAAAGTCATCCTAAAGGTAATATCCCACGAAAAAGACATTGAGGACATACAGAAAGTGTAAAATCCACTCTTTAACGCACAATTTGCGTAATCCAAACCACGCATCTTCGAATTTACCGCGTCGACGGGCTTTTTTTCCAGTGGCCGACAACCAGTTTTGCCATGTAGAGGATGTGAGAAAATCTACCCTAAATCAACAAATAATTTTGCTAACTGTCATCAATGTTCCTTACGTATGCTTCAATAATTTTAAAATTTATTTATTCAGAGAAAAAGGTAAAAACAATCGCTTTAAAACTCTTGGAATTGTTTTAAAGCAAGATTGTTTGTTTATTTACGTTAGATTCTTTAACGTATCCTTCTTGGCAAATCTGGTTGCTGGCAACTGAATAAAGTGCCCGCGGATGCGGTAAATTCGAAAAGCATGGTTTGGATTACGCAAGTTGTGCATTAGGGAGCAGATTTTAGACTTTTCTGATGTGCTCCTCATGTTTTTCGTAGGATACTACTTACCTTTGAAATGACTTTTCATCTGGCTGTATCTGAAGTGTGCAAAAGACCCATTTAAGCATAATAATACATGTTTCTTCATCAAAATTTTGCTTAAAAAAAGGAAGCAATGAATATTCCATAAATTAACTCTTTTACGAGGCATTAATGTTATGTGTGTCTGTAAATTCAAATGCACCGCTCATCAAAAAACCAAACTACTTTAGTTCAATCACACATTAAACGTTGATTTTGGCATTAAAAATTCACCAAACGTATATTTAGTAGATACTGCATTTTTCACTTGTAAATGTACCAAAGCACCTCCTCATTATAAAATAATGCTTCTCTCCCTACTGTGTCCTTATTGAAGCAATCCAAACTGATTTTGTGAAATTTGTTTCATGATGGAGAATCTAAATTTTGAATATTTTTCCATTATGTTGTTTTTAGGAATTGAATATTAGTGGCACAAAAACTTCAATGTTGAGGTATACACTACTGCTTTTTTAATCTTAACGAGGATGCAGAACTTTTCGAATGCAAGAAAAGGGAGGGTTTGAAGGGTATCTCCCCTTGTGCTCATATCTAACAGAGAACATTTTGTTTTTCACAGCTGTTCCAGATTTACCCGAAGATGTTCCTCAGAGTTCACCATTTCAAGGAAGCTCAGAAGTTGAAGAAAGGGTTACAGGAGCAATTACGTTTCCTGAACAGTGCAGTGTGTTATCGGAGGTTAATGAGGCGGAACATAGTAGATTACGAGAACCCAAACTTTCTACTTGCAGTTCATTGCAATCTTATCAAATCACAAGGGTTCATCATCTTGAATCCACTCCTGCTTTAAATCAATCTAGACCTTTTCATGAACCTAGTAATTTAACAAGTAGTCAATCTAGTCATTATGGGCCTAAACAGATATGTACCGAGTACACACAAGTCACTGTAATTTCTGAGAGATTTGAAAGAGACGAGCAGTTGCTTCAGAAGCAATTTTCAGAAATGGAAGATCTGAAAATTGCCTTAAACGAAGCCAACTCCAGACTGGAGAAATTGTCCGTAGATGTAACTTTTTTAAAATCAAAAGAAGAAGAGCTTCTAATGGAAAATAAACGTTTAAACAAAACATTAAATGTGAAAGAGAAAAAAATCAGTAGTTTGTCAAACCAATTAGGAATCAAGTGTAGGCAACTGAAGGCAGCTCTTCAACAGCACCAGATGACTCGAGAAAGACAGTCAATAACTAACAGACGGCGGCAGCTGAAAATCTTGAAGGCTCAGCAAAAAGATAAACACTCTAAATTATTGAAGAAAGAATATCTTCAAAAGTGTGCAGAACTTAAGATTAAATTAAATAAAATGAGTAAAAATTTGAAAGCTGCAAAAAATCCCAATCAAACAAAATTTCATAACAAAGTCAAAAATGTTCTTGCAAGTGTCTTGACGCCTAACCAGTTAGATATCATTTTTAAGAAAAAAAATCGAGCAAAATGGACTCCGGAAGAATATTCCACTGCCTTAACCATTAGATACTTAAGTCGAAGGTGCTATCTTTTTTTAAAGAATAAATTAAATTATCCACTTCCTGGGCTCAGTACATTAAGAAGATGGGCTTCTAAGATAAATTTACGGCACGGCATCCTCTGGGATGTTTTAAATGTTATGAAAATTTCTGGTGAAACAAAGTCAGCTTTTGATAAAATTGCAGTCTTAACATTTGATGAAATGAAAGTGGCTCGTTTCTATGAATATTCTAAAATAGATGATGAAATCATTGGGCCTCACAATTATGCTCAAGTGGTTATGGTTAGGGGCCTTTTTGATAACTGGAAGCAGCCTGTTTTTCTAGATTTTGATCTTAAAATGACCAAAGATTTACTTCTTAAAACAATCACGGAATTGCATAATATTGGGTACAGTATTGTCGCGGTTGCCAGTGACTGTGGTGGTGGAAACCAAGGAGTCTGGAAAGAGTTCAGTATCAGTTCTGACAAGCCTTATTTCCTTCATCCTGTAACACAAGAGAAAGTTTATCTTTTTGCCGATGCCCCCCATCTTTTAAAACTTCTGAGAAATTGGTTCCTCGACACTGGGTTTAAGATAGATGGTAAGGATATTTGTAAGAGTCCTCTCGAAACGATGATCAAAAAGAATGAAACCGAAGTTAGTTCCATGTTTAAGCTGTCTGAATTACATGTGAAGTGTAGTAAAACCAAAAGACAGAATGTGAGATTAGCTGCAGAACTTTTTTCACGTTCTGTAGGAACAGCATTAAAGCAGTACCTTCCTGGGGATGATAAAGAGCTTGCAAGACTAGTTGGTGAATTCATAACATTAGTCAACAGGTGGTTTGATTTGTTCAACTCTTATTCTCTCACTGCTAAAGTTCCCTCTAAGAAACCTTTTGGTGTTTTGCTAGAGTCGCAGTTACAGACTCTTGATGAAATGGTTCGCACAGTTCAAAATATGTTATGTATTGGCAAAACCTGTCTTCAGGTCTTTCAAAAAATGATAATACTTTCTGCTAATTCACTCAAAGGCCTTTATGAAGACTTGAAAAAAAAATTTCAAACTGTTTTCATCCTCACCCACCGCTTGAATCAAGACCTATTAGAAAATCTTTTTTCCCAACTGAGAAATGATGGTGGACTAAACGATCATCCCTCACCCATGACACTTATTTACAGACTGAGGAGACTTCTTCTGTGCAAGAACCCAGGTATGATTCAAGAAAGTGCCAATGTTATCATCCCCGAGGAGGTACAGTGTGACTTTCTTGTTAGAGAAACTTTTCATCAGGCACGCTTGACATTGCCAGAAGATACAATTGGTGAGAGACCTGAGGAAGAGCTCATCATATCCGAAGACATCGAAAGTCTCAACGGTTCAGCTACGACTGTATCAATATCTGAGAACATGACTTTTGTAGAGAGGGACGGTCTCATTTATCTTGCAGGTGCTGTAGCAAGGAAACACAAAGTGCTTTTTCCTTATCTTGGAAAATATACGAAAGATTTAGAGGTTCCGTTCCAAGAGCACAGTTATTGTTTACCTTCATGGATTAGCCATTTATCCTTTGGAGGCTTAATTGAGCCCTCTGATCAGTGGTACTCAGAGGTATTATCCATGGAGAAATATTTTCGTAAATTACATAATGAAACTTTCAAGTTCAAGAAAAATATCACAGAAAAAACCACAGCTTATGTAACATCCAAAATAAGGAATAAAAATATTGACATTGACCCTGTGCTCATAAAAGCTTTTTGTTCGACTAGAATTTTCATTAGAATAAGGTTTCTTAACTTCCGAAGAGTGCAGATACTTTTGAGAAAGAAAGAGGAAAAAGCAGCATTAGCAGAGAAAGAGCGAAAAGAGAAAGAGCTAAAAGAAAAAGAGCTAAAAGAAAAAACTGATCTGTCTTCCACAACTCAACAAAATTCTGAGAAGGGAAATGAAGCCAAAACAGCTAGTGACAAATCTTCAGAGAAAAAAGTTGTTGACCGGAAAGGAAGGAAAAGAAAATCCACAGTCGATAGGAAAACTGCCAAAAAAATGCGGAGGATAGTGAAATGAGACCATCATGTAGGGGCAGCAGTGTTAGCATAGGTAGTCTCATAACGGATGACAGCCACTAAAAGTAGTGATTTACATAATCTAATCTTAATCTTTACCAATTTCTACCGTACTGAAGTTCCTATCCATTATGGTTAAATTTGACGAGTTCCTATCTATTATGATTAATGCAGCTCTTAGGGTGTGTTCATTCATTTGCTCAGTACATACATGCAAGTCCCAGTCCAAGACCATGAAAAATGTCCTTACATGACCTCTTATCTGTAAAATTAAACGTTGCCTTAAGAATTTTTTTGTAACATGAACACTCGTCGTGGTGTCTTCTTATTGCATTTGCTCCTTTTTTCAATGCAATAGCAAACATTGAACATAAATAGTAAATGATACACCATGAGAAGTTTTTTCAGCTTGATGGTCGGCTTCCGCAAGGTTATTGTACTGTCTGGTGAAATGATTTTTTATTTAAGTAGGTACTTATTTATTGAATGGTAAATTATAACGCAAGAGAAAGTATATTTTGGTTATTTTTCTGCCAAGTGTTAGAGAAATTTTTTTTAAAAAGTTAAATGTAATGAAAATGAAATGACTTATGTTTGGGATGCATAAGGCTTTAAAAAAATATTCTTCATGAGACATCATTTGTGAGATTACTGTTTACTGATAGAGGCTGAAATTTTTCCAAGATATATTTTTTAAATAAAATGTATGAATGAAAAATAAGTCCAAAAACAAAAGGGATTTTGAGCTCAGACGGCAAGTCATTGTACATAATTGTAATTTTCTGTTTGATATTTCTGTATGTGGACTCCAATTTAAATTAGAATCTAGCGTCGTTATCCCTAGATATTTTGCTTCTCAGACATCTACAGTGACCACCCTCACAGTCCGTCTGATGTACCTGTAAGTAAAATAAAGTTTTCTGGCAACGTGTCGCCTTGTAAGACAAAAGGAAGGCATATTGACTTGCTTGTGTTGACTAAAAGCAAACCAAGGGACAACAGTGGTTTTCAAGGTGCTATCTTTTTCTTATTTTTTGTCATCTAAATTGATTTTTTGTTTTCAATGTTCTGAAGTGATTTCAATTTTAAATTTATTGATTAAATACATGAATAAAATCTAAAAGCTCTCCAGTTTTTCATTGAGTTCTTTTGTCACCTTCACCTTTTTTAGGAAGGGCTGAGAATCTTGAGACACTTGGACAATTCAGCTACAATCGTTTCTCTGTTTCTGAATCGCAAATCGCACAGAACCGCACCAAAAACTGTGCTAAAAATTTGTTACAAATATTTGCCGCATTGCTGAACTTTCGAAGTTCAGGTGGCCAAAATAACAGAAAAGGCTAATACTAGCTCAATCTTAGCAATGAAGCATCATATCTCTATTTAAATTTGTAGCCCCACTTTTATAATAACTTTTAATATTATGTTCATTTATTCGTCATCCTTTTGTGTATGAACAAAGTTTTTTTAAATCAAAGCGAAGGATGAAGCAACTCTAAGCTAATTTTGGAACTGTCCGGTGAAAGTTTCCTTGTATTGTTTTGCAAATAATTGTTTAAAATTAACAAAATGAAAATGACGGAACTGCAACTAAACGTCACACACACTGGTTTCCTCAAATGAATCTCGAAAAAGTAGTCAAGAAGAATTACACCTACATCTCCTGATGATTAGACGAAAATTATTTATCTAATCAAAATATGTTTAGCATTTCTAGGAGCATTCTCTCACTCTTTGGCTTCTTAATTAAAGGCTACTCAAATGGAAAATTTTGCGTGAACCTCTACTGTCCATCTATTATTTCAGGAACATTTAAATCACCAGTCTTCTTCCAACACAGCATAAATTAATGTCTCCTTATTGAATTGTGGTACTTCATCTCAATCAAGGGTAAATCATTAAAGGAGAAAAAGAAACTAAAAGAATATTTGTACATCACCAATTAATGAGACACCTGTTTATTGTTTTTACCGCCACTGGGAGGCATCGTCGAGAATTTTAAAGGTCCTTTGGTGATGGGTGGTATATCAAACAATTCTGGAATTTCGTATTCGCTTGTTTCATAGGAGCTGTACAACATTAAGACTGTCAGCAGATCTTTCCCGAGTCAGGCTCTTGGCTGCTACAAAGTCTCATAGCTTTAAATCATCTTGAACTGAGGAAAGATCTGAAAACGTCCGTAAACCTGCTGTCCATACTGAGCACAAGTATTACACAATTGGTGGGTGTAAGTGCTGATTATGCAACTGACATGATGATTCAGCAAGAAAGCACAGACTCAATAACTGATAAGAGAACTGCGAGACTCCTTGGGTAGACGATATCTTCAGATATGAAACTCAATAATTTAAATTGATAGCGTCACTCCAATTGAGCTGCACTGAAGAGTAACATGGGTGCACAGTCTTTAGGCAAAATATGAGAAATTTTCGTTCCTTTAAGCAGAATCACACATGGTTTGTTTCAAATGAAAAGTACCAGAAAAGGAAACAATCAAAACAGTGAGGGATGCAAGAGGCCTCATCAGTTGAGGTTCATTTCCAATTGGGTCTCCGGTGAAGACTCATTGAGATATGGCAAGTTGAGAAAGAAACACGTATTGATCCAAAGTTTTTTTAGGTCCATGTTAAATTTGATGATAAAAGCACGAAAAGAAAACAGACAGAAACACATTGTAGAAGTGTGGAACCGAGGATATTAACACACCAGGATCCAGAAACAACGTCCAGGAACATCCCGAAATTAGAGATCAGAGGTTATGTTTAGTAAATAAATGATAATGACGAGACGAACTTGAAATAAACTATTATTTAAATCAATTTAATTACTTGAAGCACCAGCATAAGTTTTGAGTAAAGCAAAGGAGAAACTGCGATAACTGGATACAAATATTGCAAATTACCGCAGTGCAGAGGTCGGAAGTTTGTTTTCCCCCAGATTACATTGGCTCATATGGAGGAATCGAAAATCGGCATTTTTCAAATGTTCGCGCCAACGCCGAAGTGGCGCGGAGAAGACCGAGCGTTTTGTCGATTTTGACTGTGCTGTGTTAAAGGAGCATACCTTCGTTTCACTTACCTTGTGAGGTTTACGCTGCAATCTGACGCTACAAGGTATTGGTATTGTATAGTCACTTGTTCATTGTAAGTATTTCTGGCGTTGATAGCCCGAATTTAAAGTGAAATTACTGCGGTGTATTTTATTTTGCTATCTTTATCAGTAAATAATTTAAAAACCGTGAGAGATTTTATTTTATTTTTATTTTATTTTATTTTTTTTAATTTTTTTTTATTTTTTTTTTAATATTTCTTATTTTCTCCATGGATACCTGATTATCAATATAATTTTTCGGGGGATCCCCCGAACCTCCTTATCTGGGGGGAGTCCTCCCCTTGTTTGTCAGAAATCCCCGACCCCCTTTCCGTTTTTCCAATTTTCACACTTGTCTCCCAAATTTCCGAAAGTACAAATTTCTCCTTGAAGCATCAAAAAGAAGAACGATTGGACGTTATTTCCAAATTTTTAAGGAAAAACTACCGCATTACAGCTCTCAAAAATCCGAAATATACTAAGTCCAAAATGATAGGTCCAGTTTCTTCAGAAAGTTGCACATGTGCGTGAAGGAACGAGAACATCGGGTACATTTCTTTAAACACAAATTTCAGCCAGAAATATTAAACATTAGAATGATTGTAACTTCCTTGCAAATTCTCAGTAAAAATTTTAACTCAGACTACGATCTGAAAGCGTTTCATTAGGAAGGAAAACTCATAATTCCGTTTGGAAGTTGTATGAGCCTCGCGCCGCGGCATCGCATCGGGTACACTTCGGGTACATTTCAAATCTCGCGGTAAAAGCCCGTACCCTCTGCACGTCACACATGTTCAAGATGGCAGCCAAAATCGAAATGCGACCACCATTCTTTATCCGCCTTG